TCTCAGTCAATCTTCTGCTCATAGCTTTGAATTTTCGTAAAATGAAGAGATTTGATCTCGTACTGGGAACAACTGACGTTTTCCGCCTCAAACCAACTTGCGCAAAAAGGAAGCTTCTTGAAAGTAAGTCATTTAAAAGTTGTCACAAATTCATTTAAAAAAATATATTTTGAAAAGGTATACAGAGCCCTTAGGGGTTTAATATATCTACAAAGCGCTTTAATGAAAAAATTAAAAATAACACGTTTCTACTTTTATTTGTTTTTAGAGGGCACGGTAACGAATCCTGCAATCTGATTGGTTCTTTACCTGGTCAGTATTTTCCTATCTCTGCCCACGGGCCACGGTAACGCTTTAGTGAGTTTTTAGCGAAGGACACCCGCGAAGGTCTACCGTATCCTTAACAAGTTAGAGGGTAGTTTTTCTCTCAGCCAAGGAATGACAATGCCATGAATAAGTTTCAGATCAGAACCTCACTCTTCGGACATGTATCTTTCGCTTCTTCTGTTGTTTGGAATGGAGTCTAAATACTTCCCGATAAAGTTTTACCTCTCAATCTCTTGAGGAATAAAGTCCTGGAAGCTCTAGGAACATTTTTGTTTTTACACCTTTGATGAGTCTAAATAATATTTTGATCTGACCTGTTTTCTTTCTTGATGGACTAAATTCTCTTAGCAGGCGAATAAAACATGCCATCGATAAATGCATATAATTATATGCATTTATCATAGAAAGGTCGCAAACAAATAAAGCCTTGAAAGTAGAATTTTCATTCCAACTGACAAGGGCACCACAGGAACCCATCCTTAGCTACGCCATTGCAATCGTGCTGTGTTGTGAAAGATAAGTCATTGATAGGAAATGATAACATCTTGACTCTTTGAATGTTGTTTTCCATGACTCATTTGCTCGTTTCATGGTTTCGTGTTTATTTTCTACAACATCAATTTTCACATAACATATCTTCGGAAGGAATTTTCTTTCATGGAAGACGATGGAAGAGGGGTGGGGAAAGGCCTCCCTACTTTTTTCTCCCTCCTGTTGACCGTGGCTCACCCGCTAGATACAAATTTCTTTGCCTCTCCAAGCGCACATAAAAACATTGACTACGTAAGCTACATGGGTCGCAGTCCAATGGCCCTTATCGGAGTTGAGCACGCCACCCAAACAATCCAGCGGTATTCTTGTGAGTAAAAATCAAAGCGAGGCTATCGGGTCAACATCGATCAGATTTGTGTGAGAAAGTGAGGAAAACTTATGGAGTGTTCCACAAATCTTCCACAAGCGGCCTTTTTTTCCGCTGAGGAGAAAGTGCAGTTGATAAGTGGTAATTGCCCACGGCATATTACTAAAGAAAGACTCAAAGAATGGTTGTCATTCCGCAAAGGGACGGCTAAAGATGGTAGTGCACGGTCTGAAGCAACGAAGGCTGACTTATCTCAAAGGTACACAGATTGCAATATTTTTTGTCCCTTATAATTATTGCCATTGCTTGAAGGGAATATCGAAGCATAAGTTCTATATCGATTTGTTTTATCTGCCGCAGGGTCATCAGTTATATAAAAAAAATGGTTGGGAGAATAATTTTACGGAGAGGTGGCACTTAGCGGCAAGTAAACCACTGGAGCAAACGGCGACCGTCAATTGTGATTTC